AGATCACTCGGGACAGAGCACGCCGCACCATTACCTTGACTCAGTCACACATGGTGCAGCAGGTCCTTCAGCGCTTCGGCTTCACGTACTCCTCGCCTCATGCCACTCCTCTGCCTACTCGCCACTCACTCTCAGCTCTGCCTTCGGATGAGTCCGTAGAGTCGAGTGGTCCGTATGCAGAGCTTGTTGGCTGCCTCATGTACCTGATGACCTGCACACGACCTGACCTTGCATACCCTCTGAGCATTCTTGCACGCTATGTTGCTCCTGGGAGACACAGACCAGAGCACATGGCTGCAGCGAAGAGGGTATTGCGCTACCTGTGCAGTACGTCGGGCATGGGGCTTGTGCTTGGAGGGCGGAGTCCAGTGGTCCTTACCGGCCACGCGGACGCTTCTTGGGCTGACGACCAGGCTACGCAGCGGTCGTCACAGGGTTACACCTTCAGCCTTGGTTCCGGCTCTGTCTCGTGGCGGTCTACTCGCTCGTCTTCGGTTCTCGGCTCCAGTTGTGAGGCTGAGATCTACGCCGGGGCCATGGCTGCACAGGAGCTTCGCTGGCTCACCTACCTGCTGACTGACCTTGGAGAGCCGCCTCGTTCTCCTCCAGTGCTGTACGTAGACAACAAGGCCATGCTGGCCTTGTGTCGAGAGCAGCGCTTGGAGCACAGAACGAAGCACATTGCTCTCCGCTACTTCATTGCTCGTGAGCTGCAGCAGCGTGGTCAGTTGCGACTTGCGTACGTGGCCTCTGAGGCCAACACTGCTGATGTGTTCACCAAGGCACTCGCGCCTTGTGATCATCAGCGCTTTTGCACCCAGCTGGGTCTTGTGCCTGTCTTGCCTCACTTGCTCTCCTCTTGACTTTACTTGTACTGTGACATATATATATACCTGCTCTTGCTTGTCTAGTTTTATATATATGTCTGTACTCCTGCATGTGAACTGGCCTCTGGCCCTGCTTTTGTGCTCGGACTGTGTGGTGACTTTGTGATCCACCCTGAGCTTGCTTTGCTTTGCTTGACTGGTCTTGTGACCCCTTGTTCTCCCCCACTTTGCCTATGGGGGTGTGTCAAACATTATATATGTTATGCTTGTGTAGGCTACAGTGGGTTAGCCTCTAGGGGGTACACAATTCTAGGGTTTACTACTTGTACTCATTTCACTTCTAGTTCATTCATTCCTGTTCGCTTATTCTCACAGCCAGAGGCTGGCGGTGGAGTAGGAGTAGTGCCCGAGGAGCCATTGGGGGAGCTCCTTTCCTTGTTTGTTGCCATGTCTTGTAATGATGAAAAAGGTTAGAGTTTTCACCTGTCAGCTCTGATACCATGTTGGGCTGAGAAATAGCCCTTAGGATCTTTGCAGAGGAGAACTCTTGGGTAGAAACTTGTAATAGCGGAAGCGTTTTAATGAGGATTGTGAACCGACCTTGCACTGGTGTGTGAGAGCAAAGTAGATTAAATTAAACAAGCAAATACAAGGATTTATATATGAGTACAGGGAATACGAATAGATAGGTAGATAACTGTATTGCTGTTGCGGTTCGATACAGTGCGACTCGGGCAACTGCTCTGTAACGAGTCAGTTGTGTGTCCTTAACTGTCGCGCTGTGATTGTCGAGTCAAAGGTCAGCGACCTTTGACTTTCTCGTAACCTCCAGGCGGTTACCCTAACCTCCGAGGTTGACTCGATGCTTCGTTTGGGACTGCTTCGCTTGGTGCCTTGGGTTTGATACGACAGAAGCGCACTTAGGACTTATTGTTTCCAACAGAAGACACTTCAGATCAGAACAAACCACATTTCTGAATGGACTGTGCAGTGTGCTGTTTTCTATCCACAGCCATGAAAGACTGCGGAGGGGAGCAGAAGAGTGAAGACGTGGAGAAGAGGGAGGAGGAAGGAAGTGATCAATGTAATGAGAGGACACGGGAGTAAGGAGACGGGTGGAGGGAGGGGAAGGAAGGAGGGAAGAATAAAGGAAGAACGGAAGGAAGCATAAAGGCAGGGAAAGAGGAACGGATCGAGGGTTGGCCGGAGTGAATGTGGGAGGGAGGGAAGGGAGAGAGAAGGGGAAGGAGGAGAGATGGCCTAGGAGGAAGAAAAGGAGGAAGAACGGGAGGGGAGCGGGGGGAAGGAAAGGGAGGGAGGGAGGGAGGGAGGGAGGGAGGGAGGGAGGGAGGGAGGGAGGGAGGGAGGGAGGGAGGGAGGGAGGGAGGGAGGGAGGGAGGGAGGGGCGGAGGGAGGGGCGGAGGGAGGGGCGGAGGGAGGGGCGGAGGGAGGGAGGGAGGGAGAGAGGGAGGGAGGGAGGGAGAGAGGGAGGGAGGGAGGGAGGGAGGGAGGGAGGGAGGGAGGGAGGGAGTGAGGGAGGGAGGGAGGGAGGGAGGGAGGGAGGGAGGGGAGGGAGGGAGGGGCGAAGGGAGGGAGGGAGGGAGGGAGGGAGGGAGGGAGGGAGGGAGTGAGGGAGGGAGGGGCGGAGGGAGGGGCGGAGGGAGGGGCGGAGGGAGGGGCGGAGGGAGGGAGGGAGGGAGGGAGGGAGGGAGGGAGAGAGGGAGGGAGGGAGGGAGGGAGGGAGGGAGGGAGGGAGGGAGGGAGGGAGGGAGGGAGGGAGGGAGTGAGGGAGGGAGGGAGGGAGGGAGGGAGGGAGGAAGGGAGGGAGGGAGGGAGGGGCGGAGGGAGGGGCGGAGGGAGGGGCGGAGGGAGGGGCGGAGGGAGGGGCGGAGGGAGGGGCGGAGGGAGGGGCGGAGGGAGGGGCGGAGGGAGGGAGGGAGGGAGAGAGGGAGGGAGGGAGGGAGGGAGGGAGGGAGGGAGGGAGGGAGGGAGGGAGTGAGGGAGGGAGGGAGGGAGGGAGGGAGGGAGGGAGGGAGGGAGGGAGGGAGGGAGGGAGGGAGGGAGGGAGGGAGGGAGGGAGGGAGGGAGGGAGGGGCGAAGGGAGGGAGGCAGGGAGGGAGGGAGGGAGGGAGGGAGGGAGGGAGGGAGGAAGGGAGGGAGGGAGGGAGGGGCGGAGGGAGGGGCGGAGGGAGGGGCGGAGGGAGGGGCGGAGGGAGGGGCGGAGGGAGGGGCGGAGGGAGGGAGGGAGGGAGAGAGGGAGGGAGGGAGGGAGGGAGGGAGGGAGGGAGGGAGGGAGGGAGGGAGGGAGGGAGGGAGGGAGGGAGGGAGGGAGGGAGGGAGGGAGGGAGGGAGAGAGAGAGGCGGGGAGGAGGGAGGGAGGGAGGGAGGGAGGGAGGGAGGGAGGGAGGGAGGGAGGGAGGGAGGGAGGGAGGGAGGGAAGGAGGGGAGGAGGGAGGGAGGGAGGGAGGGAGGGAGGGAGGGAGGGAGGGGCGGAGGGAGGGGCGGAGGGAGGGGCGGAGGGAGGGAGGGAGGGAGAGAGGGAGGGAGGGAGGGAGGGAGGGAGGAGGGAGGGAGGGAGGGAGTGAGGGAGGGAGGGAGGGAGGGAGGGAGGGAGGGAGGGAGGGAGGGAGGGAGGGAGGGAGGGAGGGAGGGGAGGGAGGGAGGGGCGAAGGGAGGGAGGCAGGGAGGGAGGGAGGGAGGGAGGGAGGGAGGGGCGAAGGGAGGGAGGCAGGGAGGGAGGGAGGGAGGGAGGGAGGGAGGGAGGGAGGGAGGGAGGGAGGAAGGGAGGGAGGGAGGGAGGGGCGGAGGGAGGGGCGGAGGGAGGGGCGGAGGGAGGGAGGGAGGGAGAGAGGGAGGGAGGGAGTGAGGGAGGGAGGGAGGGAGGGAGGGAGGGAGGGAGGGAGGGAGGGAGGGAGGGAGGGAGTGAGGGAGGGAGGGAGGGAGGGAGGGAGGGAGGGAGGGGAGGGAGGGAGGGGCGAAGGGAGGGAGGCAGGGAGGGAGGGAGGGAGGGAGGGAGGGGCGGAGGGAGGGGCGGAGGGAGGGGCGGAGGGAGGGGCGGAGGGAGGGAGGGAGGGAGGGAGGGAGGGAGGGAGGGAGGGAGGGAGGGAGGGAGGGAGGGAGGGAGGGAGGGAGGGAGGGAGGGAGGGAGGGAGGAGGGAGGGAGGGAGGGAGGGGAGGGAGGGAGGGGCGAAGGGAGGGGTGGAGGGAGGGAGGGAGGGAGGGAGGGAGGGAGGGAGGGAGGGAGGGGCGGAGGGAGGGGCGGAGGGAGGGGCGGAGGGAGGGGCGGAGGGAGGGGCGGAGGGAGGGGCGGAGGGAGGGGCGGAGGGAGGGGCGGAGGGAGGGGCGGAGGGAGGGGCGGAGGGAGGGGCGGAGGGAGGGAGGGAGGGGTGGAGGGAGGGAGGGAGGGAGGGAGGGAGGGAGGGAGGGAGGGAGGGAGGGAGGGAGGGAGGGAGGGAGGGAGGGAGGGAGGGAGGGAGGGAGGGAGGGAGGGAGGGAGGAGGGAGGGAGAGAGGCGGGGAGGAGGGAGGGAGGGAGGGAGGGAGGGAGGGAGGGAGGGAGGGAGGGAGGGAGGGAGGGAGGGAGGGAGGGAGGGAGGGAGGGAGGGAGGGAGGGAGGGAGGGAGGGAGGGAGGAGGAGGGAGGGAGGGAGGGAGGGAGGGAGGGAGGGAGGGAGGGAGGGAGGGAGGGAGGGAGGGAGGGAGGGAGGGAGGGAGGGAGGGAGGGAGGGAGGGAGATGGCATAAATGGGAGATAAGGAGGTAGAACGGGAGCGGAAAGGGGCAAGCAAGTAAGAAAGGAAAGGAAGAGAGGGAGTGAGGGAGGGAGGGGCAGAGCGAGAGAGGAAACGAGGGATGAATTGGCGGATCGAGAGAGGGAGCGAGGGAGGGATTGGTGGAGGGACGGAGGAGTGCCAAGAGGGGCAGGAAGAGAGAGCTGGAGGGAGGGAGAGTGGGAGTGTGAGTGAGTGAGAAGACAGGCGAAAGACAAGCGATATTCCACACAATGAGGTGGAGTTGTTCATAAAGTTTTGAATATACAAGAATGCGGGTAGCATGTACTCGTGTGCAAGCAACAGATGGGGTGATCAGCAGGTCAGCAGTGGGCGCAGGCAGCCTAGGCTAAGGACAGGGCAAGGCATGGGTAGTGGCAGCTGCACGCAGCAGCGGGAGAAGGCGCTATTGCGGGGCGTGCTCGCGGGTGCGGGCGGCGTCGGCGAGCTGTTTAGCGAGCACGGCGTTTTGGGTCTCGAGGGCGGCGCAGCGCATCTGCAGGGAGCGGATGTACACCACAGCGTCGTCCAGCATGGCGGACGTGTCTGTGCGCGCGTCCGTGCGCGGCATCACGTCCTTCAGCCGCTTCAGCCGCGCCGATATGCGCTCCCGCCGCATGCGCTCCGCCACGCTGCGCGGCTTCGTCGAATGCCTGCCCCGCCCCTTGCCTCCGGCCCCCCCTTTGCCGCCCTCCCCGTCCGCCTCCTCGTCCCCCCCCTCGTCCAGCCCAAACCCATCGCCGCCGTACAGCTCGTCTCCCCCTCCGCCGCCCTCCATGCCCTCGCCCATCCCTGCTGCCGCCCCGCCGCCCTCCTCCATGTGCGCGGCACCCGCTTCCATCCCGCCCTCCTGCCCGTCCCGCGCTGCTCCATCCTGCCCGCCCGCCGACGCCACCTCGTAGCCCTGCTCGCCGCTCGACCCTCTCGAGTGCGACCCTCTGCCTGCCGACTCCGCGGATCGCACGCCCCCTCCCACTCCGCCGCGCGCTGACCCCAGCGGCAAGGACGCAGCCCCGCCAAGCGGAGTGGTGGGCAGCGAGCGCACGCGCAGCTGCGCCATGTCGCTCGCGAGCCCCGTGGGGCTCGCGGCTATGGCGGACAGAACGCGGCTGCCGCCGGGGCTGCGATATCCGTCGGATCGCGGGCTCTTGAGCGCGGGGGACAGCGGCCACCGCGCTGCGCCGCCTGTCATGCCCGCCTCGGCCTCGCGCTTGCCCGTGCTGAGAGGGGGATTGCCGCCGGTGGCAGCGGCGAGGCGGGAGACGGCGGAGGGGCGCGCGTTGGCCAGCGAGCTGGAGAGGTCGGGCAGGCCCCGCCGGGAGCGCAGGCTCGACTGCGCGCCGTGAGCGGCGGACCCCAGCAGCGGCACGGGGCGCTCGCCCGCCGTGAGCTGCGGTCGAGATCGAGCGTTGACTTGCGGCGAGACGGGCGGAAGCGCAGATCGACCGTCCAGGCTGTGGCTCTGGCTCAGGGTGGCGCGGCCGCTTCCCGGCGGCGCAGAGCCGTTAAATCCACCCACCGTGTGCTCCGCCGCCGCACCCGCCGCGCCTGCTGCGAGGAGCTGCGCTGTGCTGTCCGCAGCCACCTGGGGCAGCTGTGCTGGCTGCGACTCGAGTGGTGACGACGTGGTGAGCGCGGTAGTGGTGGCGGTGGTGGTGGCGTCGAGCGCGGTGAGCATGGCCTGCAGCGACGGCATGTCGAGACCCGCCGACAACAGCTGCAGCAGCAAATCCCGCGACACGCCCGACGACGCCACGTCACCGACGTCCATGCCCACAGCGCCGCAACCAGCGGCCCCGCCAAACTCATTCGTCGCAGCAGCGTTGACGGGCGGAGCGACTAGCTGTGACGCTTCGGGGAACCAGAGCCCATCGCGAGCCCCAAGCGGCCACGCGGGCTCGCCTGGCAGCGTCGCGAAGTCCATGGCGCCCGCAGGCAGTTGCGAGAGGTCCGCCGCAATCGGAGGTAAGAATACTGCGGCGTCACCGCGTCCTGCTGCGCACTGGTCCGCCCTGAAAGACGGCTCTATACCTGCATTGAGCGGAACCCTAAACTGGTCTTCCTGCGCCTGCTGAAGCTGGGAGAAGTCCGATGGCTGGAACTGCATGACGTCTCACCGAAGCGGGAGCTCGCTATATCTACTACGTGTCCTGAACAAAGAATTGCTTCCTAACAAATGCCCTTCTAGACAGGACATGTCCGAGGTGTTTCGAGTTGAGGGTAGGTAACACCAACCATCCATCAAGAAAGCTTCCCTGCTGAGTGACAACCGTTCTGAGGTGGGGTAGGGAGACAACTCTCCTCTCGCCCAGTTCTGCCTTGGTGGTGGTTGTTCCCTGCTGGCCAGCGTTGACTCGCGCCCGCCCACCCAACCGCCCATCCGTCGTCCTCTCGGTCAGGCCTGTCGATTGACGGGCATATGCCCTTAATGCCCTGAAATTCCGGGCTACTTTCGCTCCAGCTCGACTGCATAAAGTGTTAGGGTCACCCTGCACCCGTGCCACTAAGTGCTTCGTTCGACCCTTCCCCGGATGCGTTAAGTGCTCCAAACAGGCCTTCCCCACCCACAAAGTTTTGATTTCCGGTTCTAGGGAACCCCCCCCCCCAAGAAATTCTGCCTGACCCCCCCACTCCACCCCCCTCCCCTTTCTCCTTGGTTGCACGAGAGCGCGCCAAGGGGATTTTTTCCCTTAGCGTTTTCTAGCCAATCCCGTGTTTGTGATCTCTCTTAGTCAGCTTTGGAGCAGCCGAACTTTCCCTTAGCTAAGAGAGTGTAAGTGCAAGCCCGGATATCAAGTTACCACTTTGGCCTGCGCCCGTGACCGTTAAGGGCGCCAAAACACTCAGCTACGGCCAATACAGGGTCAGATAGGGAGGAGCTGGGGGCTCCAAGTAAGGGCCCCAGGAACATCGACAGGCCTGCTCTCGGTCCCCCGCGCCCCCAGCCAAACCAATTCGCTCGCTTTCAGTTGGTCTGGCTGGAGGGCTCAATCTGTGCTGGCAGGTTTGGTTTGGCCGTAGCAGTGCACCCTGCCTTCGACCCTTCCTGGTTTTGAGGTCTGGCTGCCGCTCAGGCTCTGGTGGTGGGGCCGGGGCAGGCGATTTGTATTTCAGATATGGCGGTTTTTTCCCGCTATATGATATTCCCACCCTGCAAAACCGGGGTCTGGAAAATGAGCCGCGGTGTCATCACATGTATCCCAGCAGGTCCCGCTTCAGTTTCAAATTCAAGTCCTGGTCCTGGTGATGGCATCCTCCTTGACGTGTTTGGATGTGTAAGTGTCGAGAACTCTGACAAAACCTTGGATGTGAATGCTGTCTGAAATATCCGCAGGGCGGTTCAGATTTCCCCTTCTGGGAATCTGCAAACACCAATCTAAAACATTTCGTAAAATACTACTTAACTGACGAACCTTAGCACGGCGAGCTTCACAAGTACAGGTCCGGGTGTGAAACCTACCACAATTCCCTTAAACAAGCGAACCGCCAATAGGGGAACTATTCCTGACCTGCTGATTTAGCAGGGTGAGCCTGAGTGAACTCGGATCTGGAAGAATCCTCATCAGAACCTATGCCGAGAAATTATATAATAAATCATCATTATGCCCGTTTTATCACATTTGGTCACAGGGGCATTACAAACAGTCATAGTACAGTAGATGTTTATCGCAGGTGATCACAGTGCTATCACGGATGGTCACACCTCCCCCCTAAAAGCTATCATGTTTGGTCACTCGATGAAACGTTTAAAATTAATTTGAAACCACGAAAGAAACAGTAGAATTTTGGGGGAATCCCAATCTTGATTGCTTCTTACCTCGCGCATTATTCTAGCCCTGAATTTTAGGAAAAAATAATAAAAAATAAACCCCGATTGGATGGCACTTCTTCGCGGGGCATCAACCCTGAACACTATGCGACAAGGTGTTTAGGGCTGATGCTTCCGAATTATATCCCATCCGAACAATTTTCATTTTTGTATTGGGAACAAACTAAACCTTAGAGTTCACCCGTCAAAAAGTGATATTTTTAGGAACATTACGCATCGATCGAGCAGTGGACATTCGTATAGTAAAGAAGAAATTGCAGATGTTTTTAACGAGTTGCCGAAAGTCGTCGCGAAACTTTTTCGTGATAATACGGACAAAAACGGCGCGCGCGATAAAATTTCTCCTGAATCCCTACAGTGACTCGAGTAGCTACAATTCTCGATTGGGCGTTTCATCTGTGACCAAACGTGATAGAATTACGGGGCAGGGTGTGACTATCCGTGATAGCACTATGATCACACGCGATGGTTAGGAGGTGTACTGTGACTGTTTGTGATACCCCCGTGACTAAATGTGATAAACTACGCCTAACTGTGACTACCCATGTATTTTCTTATTACAGGGTTTCGTTTGTAGCTGTTCTGATAGCGTTTGCGAATCTCCGTTGTATGTACATCCGGGATTTTATTACGAAGACTTGTGAGACCCCTTAGCCCACCAGAATAAAATACGTTTGGAATCCATGGAGGCAGGAAACAATAATACAGCAAACATTGTTAGAGTGTGGCGTCACTGATTTCCAAGGTTCGGAACGCGGCTTGTCAGTAATAGCGTGGTGGTAGAGGTTCGGACATGGCCTAGACTGTTCAAGTAGTGCAGACGAGGTGCAAGGCATTGGCAGGACAGCAGTAAGCTCAGTTGGTTGTCGCGTGTGATTCTAACGGGATTTAGCCCGCCATTCGGTGAACTGCATGTCGACGGTGACCGCGGAGCTGCTTTCTCCGCCACCGGAGTCGCAAGCCCCGCCGGCCATGAAGCGCCCGCGAGGCCGCCCGCGCAAACACCCGCCCAAGGAAGCCGCGCTTCCAAAGCGCAAGCGCGGACGGCCGCGCAAGGACTCGGGGGTGCAGGAGGTGCGCGGCGGGCGGGTGGCGGAGGACTCGAGCGTGCCGAAGCGGGGCCCGGGACGGCCGCCAAAAGACCCGACGCTGCCAAAGGGACGGCCGGGGCGGCCACCTAACGACTCAGCTTCACCAAAGCGAAAGCCGGGACGGCCGCCTAAAGACCCCAGTCTGCCTCGACGAAGCCCCGGTCGGCCGTTGGGCAGCACGGCGGGTCGGAGCGAGTCGCGTGCCGCCCCCAGCTGTGCGTGCGCCCCTCCCACCTCCGGCCTTGCTGCTTGCTCGCCCTGCTGCTCGCGAACCTCTCTGCTTTGGCTGCTGCCTTGCTGTGACTGCTGTTCCCCGCCCCAGTGCGACAGCTTCCTGCCTGCTCCCGCTCCCTGTTCCCTGCTCCCTCCTCCTTGCCGTGTGTGCAGCGCTGGAGCCGAGAGTCCTCCTGGTTCCAAGTGGCGAGGTATGAGAGGGGTGGGGGTCGAGGCCTGTGGGACTTTTCCAAAAGTGGCTGTTGAGAATGCCTGGTTAGAGCCCTCTTTTTCTCTGTTAGTCATTGCCTCTCCATTTTCGCTCACCTGTTGTTTACTCGGGAATGGGAAGGGCAGGGGCCCTATTTATACGAGCAGAGCAGAGCAGAGCAGAGCAGCAGCAGATGGCATCGTAGAGAGGAGGGAGGAGGCTAGCGCAGTGGAAAGCGAGTGGGAGGGGAGGGGCGTACAGAAGCGTGGATGAAGTCGCCTGTCATGCCTGTGTCCACCGTGCCGCAATCACTCGTCCTCCCCTGGGTGGGTCCTCCCGTGGGTGGGTCCTCCCGTGGGTGGGTCCTCCCGTGGGCGTGCCCTCTCATGGGCGGGGCACAGGACGTAGCAGCGCGGATATTCGAGTTGTCACGCGAGGAGGGCAGGGCGGTGTGTGTGCTCTCCGCCAATGGCTCCGTCCTCCCGCCCGCCCTCTCTGGCCCCGCCACCGCCCTGCCTGCCACACCACTTGCGGTGGGTCATAGCAGCACACGATATGGGGTGGGTCATAGCAGCACACGACATGGGGTGGGTCATAGCAGCACACGACATGGGGTGGGTCATAGCAGCACACGACATGGGGTGGGTCATAGCAGCACACGACATGGGGTGGGTCATAGCAGCACACGACATGGGGTGGGTCATAGCAGCACACGACATGGGGTGGGTCATAGCAGCACACGACATGGGGTGGGTCATAGCAGCACACGACATGGGGTGGGTCATAGCAGCACACGACATGGGGTGGGTCATAGCAGCACACGACATGGGGTGGGTCATAGCAGCACACGACATGGGGTGGGTCATAGCAGCACACGACATGGGGTGGGTCATAGCAGCACACGACATGGGGTGGGTCATAGCAGCACACGACATGGGGTGGGTCATAGCAGCACACCACATGGGGTGGGTCATAGCAGCACACCACATGGGGTGGGTCATAGCAGCACACCACATGGGGTGGGTCATAGCAGCACACGACATGGGGTGGGTCATAGCAGCACAGGACATGGAGTGGGTCATAGCAGCACACGACATGGGGTGGGTCATAGCAGCACATGACATGGGGTGGGTCATAGCAGCACACGACATGGGGTGGGTCATAGCAGCACACGACATGGGGTGGGTCATAGCAGCACACGACATGGGGTGGAGCGTTTTTGTGGTGTGGGTTTGGTGGTTGAGATGGAGAGGGAAGTTGAGAGGCAGGAAGCAAAGGGTGTTGAGTGTGGCTCGTGTGCGTGTGTGCGTGCGTGCGTGCATGCATGCAGGGAGCACTGGACATGGTGTCGCTGTCGGGCTCATACGTGCCGGACGACCCCACCGACGCCTCCAGCCGCATGGGAGGGCTCACTGCCACCCTTGTGGGCGCCGACGGCCGCGTGCTGGGGGGCACTGTGGCCTCCCCTCTACTCGCCTTCTCCACCGTGCAGGTCAGCCTCTCCCTTTCTCTACACTGAACGGGGGGTGGCTGTCGGTTGTTGCAGCTTGCACAGTGCGCTCAGATCTTGGCAGCATGTGTCACACACACGTGCTGATGCATGCACACTCAAATGGTTGGCGATTGCTAAGTCTAACCATTTCTTGTTTCGGCGTCGTTGTCCTCAGAGCAGCGCCTTCATCCTTGCATTGCACCTCTCATACTGACTGCTTTTGGCGCTCCATGCTCACTGCAGGTCACGGTTTTACTCTTTATGGTTCAACCAATGGGCGCCTGACAACTGCCAACTACATCCCCCACACTGCCTGCATGCCTCTAGTCAGGTTCAAAATCTGCAAGTTTGTAGCATGTTTAGTGTTCTTAGATTGAGTCGCACTAGCTGCAGTGCAATGTAGTGTAGAAGCACACTTACAAGGCTAACTTTTATCAAGGCACCACATGAATTCCTTAGGCAGCTGTGTGCAATGTGTGCTGTGTTCTCCTGCCATTAGGCAGCTCACACATGCTTCATAAAATGGGGAGTCTCTCTAAACTACGGTTCTGACTAAAAGCTGGTCGTCCTGCTGTTGCTCAGCACCAGGGGGGATGCGCATGCTGCACGAGTAGATTTGCTAATGGTAGCCCAGTAGCTACAGCAGACTGTCTACAAGCTTGGTTGCCGTGTTGTGAGCCGTGCGGCGGGCTGGAGCCGCCTGCGTGTTGAGCACGGCCCCAGCACGACCAGTATTCATGGCTCAGGCTGTTGATGGTGGTCCGTTGCACCAATGGTGGCAGCGGCAGAATTGGCACGCATTTGCATGGCAGTATAGCGCCTTATAGACATGTGAATGAGTGGCAGCAGCTGGTGTGTATGTTGGGGCGTGCAAGCAGGCGGTGGGGTGGCAGAGAGGGAGCAGCGGCGGCAGAGAGCAAGGGGGGCAACACAAGATGGACTGTAAGTGCCACAAGATGCATTGGCGGGCACCCTGGGTGTCACAACGTCAAGCCAATGCTGACACCATACAGGGTGGGTAAGTGGCAGCAGCATCAGCGGTGGGTGGGTGGAGGGAGGGGCGTGAGGGGCATCAGCGGTTGGACCAGATGAAGTCGACATCGATGGTGCGCTGCGTGCCGTCTCGGTTGCCCTCTGGCTGCAGCACGTATGTCCCGGACACCATCCCCAGCGCCACCACCCGGTCTATCTGTATCGTCGCCTTGCCCAGTGAGCTCTGCCATCACTCACTCACTCACACACACACACACAGCACACACACACACACAGCACACACACAGCACACACACACACAGCACACACACACACAGCACACACACACACAGCACACACACACACAGCACACACACAGCACACACACACACACAGCACACACACACACACACAGCACACACACAGCACTCACACACACACACACAGCACACACACACACACACACAGCACACACACACACACTCACACACACACATACACACACACACACACACACACACACACACACAGCACGCCCAACACACCACAGTGCACAGAAGTCAAGGGAATGAGACACGGAGCATGCTGGAAATGGAACACACGTGGAGCAGCCCATACCGGGGCACATGAGTGCAGCAGTTGGTAACTCACGGTGCCGATGGTGCCCTTGTTCTTGCACGAGATGTGGAGGTTCTGCCCGCGTGGAGGGGCGTCCAGCGGCCATGTGAAGGTCTGCTTCCACTCGGGGTCACACGTGCCGCTCACCACCTGCCATGCCATGGAGGAGCACACACCACATCCCACACCACACACAACACGGCCCAACAAACTAAGATGGCAGATCAAGCGTTCAGAGGGTTACGGTGAGAGCAGAGACAATTGCTGATTACAGTGCTCCTTTTGTAATTGCTCCAGAACTACCCCCATCACCAGCATCCCCATACCCCATGTGCCCCGCCCGCTGCCCCTGGGCGTCGCGCCGTGTGCAGTGAGTGACTGACCTTGGTGACCTTGGCGGGGGTGTCGGCGAGCGTGAGCTTGCAGTAGGCGTTGGTGGCGCCCATGGACGCCTTGAGGTTGGAGCCGCGCTTCACACACACCGACAGGCTGCCCGGCAGCACGGACAGCAGCGTCTCCGCCTTCTCGTACAGGTTGATGGGGCCGGAGCGCAGCATGAGCTGCAGCACGGGGATGGTGTCGCCCATGGCGATGGACTGCAGCCGCGCCATCTCCTTGCTCTGCGCCCACCCCTGCCGCAGCAGCCACAGCACGTTCAGTGCCGTCTCCTGCGCCACCTCGCTGCCCACCTTCATGGCGCCCACCAGCACGGGGATGGCGGCCGTGGCGCACTCGCTGAAGCGCAGGCGGGAGAAGGTGGCGAGCAGCCCCTCGATGGCCTGCAGCACCTCCTCGTTCACACTCGCCGTCTTCCACAGCTCACGCTCGATCACGCCTGTCATGGACGACACCAGCTCCGGCGTCGCGTACTCCTGCACCGTGTGGTTGTTCAGCATCAGCCGCACCAGGTTGGCGGCCTGCGACGTCACCTCCGCCGACCCGCCTGTCAGCAGCTCCACCAGCACGCTGAACCCGCCCGCGTCCGCCACGGCGCGCTTGTTGGCGCGCGACGATGCCACCAGGTTCTGCAGCCCGCACAGCGCCACCATCACCAGGTCCTCACTCGCGCGCTCCGCCATGAGCGCCACGATGTGCGCGGCACGCGCCCGTGAGGTCCACCGTCTTGAGCGCCACGCTCGTCTCCTGGAAGAGGTCGCCCAGCGCCAGCGCCGCCAGCAGCTTGGCGTTGGGGTCGGCGGAGTTGGGGTCCAGCAGGTACGACGCCAGCGGTGCGATGGAGCGCAGCGCCGTCTGCGAGTCCCTCACGCGCGCGTTGTTGAAGATGGCCTCCAGCAGGCGCGCCGCCGCCTCCTCCACCTGGTGGCAGCGCAGCAGCTCCAGCAGCGCGTCCACCACGCCCATGCGCGCCATCTCGTCCCCCCGCGCCGGGTCCTCGCGCTCCAGCGCCAGCAGCGCGGAGAGCGCGACGACCTGCACGGGCTCGGTGTTGGCCATGAGCAGGCGCACGAGCACGGGCACGGGCACCTGCACCGCGCACTTGTCATGCGCGCGCAGCACGTTCGCCAGCACCGTCGCCGCCATCTGCCACATCGGGTGCGGCGCCGTCGCCACCAGGCGAGATAGCTCGTCGATGCCGCCCGCCTCCACGATGGCGCCCGGCCAGCAGGCGGACACGAGTTCGAGCGCCTTGAGGGCCTCGGTGCGCAGCGACTCCAGCTCGCTGCCCAGCAGCCTCACCAGCGGGGCCGCGGCGGCGGCGGTGATGCCGTCACTGTGGAAGGCCTCCAGCGTGAGCACGTGCGCCAGCAGCCCCGCCGCCAGCTGCGCCACCACCAGCGACGGCGAGAGCAGCAGCGGCACGAGCGGCTCCATGGCGTCGCTGGGCGGCAGGTCGAGCGCCTCCAGGCGGCCGGGCTTCTCCAGCACGTTCACCAGCGCCTGCAGCGCACTTGTCTGCGCCGCAGGGGACAGCTCCGCGTGGCGCAGCATGGCGAACACGGGCCCCACGAGGCGCGCAGCGGCGGCGCCCTTGGCGATGGTGGAGTTGTTGGTGAGCACGCGCAGCAGCTCCGCCAGCAGCGAGCAGAGGGCGAGCGGCGCGGAGGGGAAGATGGCAATGATGCGCTCGATGACGCCCGCCGCCGCCATGTCCAGCTTGCACTGCCGCCGGTCCTTGGCCAGCTTGAACAGCGCACTACTGGCCGCCGCGTGCAGCCCGTGCCGCTCGCCCTCCAGCAGGCTCACGAGCGGCGCCACGGCGCTGCATGAGGCCACCACGTTGGCCTGCTGCTCGTCGTCCATCACCGCGTCCACGGCGCCCGCCGCACGGTACTGCAGCGACGGCGACGGGTGCAGCAGCAGCACCACCAGCGGCGGGATCAGCGCGGCGGCCACGGGGCCCGAGCGAGCGCGAGGGAAGGAGAAGAGCGTCTGCAGCAGCTCCACCGCCGTCGCCTTCACCTCCGCCGCCGCCTTGTCGTACCCGCCGCTTCCGCCAGCTGGCTGATTGTCGGGCGCCTCAAGCAGGCGCTGGATGGTGGCCATGAGGGGGATGCCGCCCTCCTCGCACGCCTGCAGCACGCGCCCCACGTTGCCCTGCGCCAGCTGGCACAGCGCCGCCGCTGCCGCCCGCTGCTCCGCCTCCACAGTGCCGCCTCCAGCAGCCCCGCCAGCAGCCTCCGCGCCCGCCCCGCTGCCCAGCATGTCGACGAGCGGGTGCAGCGCGTGCAGCGCCGCGTCGCTGGCGCGGTGCGCGTCGACGGCGAACAGCGCCTCCAGCGCCGATGCTGCCGGCAGGCGCGCGGCGCGGGAGCCCACGCGGAGCACGGCGACGAGCTGGTCCATGGCGGCGGGCGCGGCGGCGTGCACGCGCAGGTCGTCCGCCTGGAAGAGCACCCGCAGCAGCTCCACCGCCGCCGCCTCCATCGCCTCCTGCACGGGGGAGAGGGGAAGTAAGGGCGCGTGGGGTTGGATGGGCATTGGGGAATGAGTGATGAGGGGGTGAGGAGGCAGCAGCACAGGTGGGGTGGAATGTGCGAAGCTCGAGGATATCAAGCAACAGGGGGGAGGCAACGCAAGGGGGGAAGCGCGCGGCGCACCTGCGGGCCGAGCGTGAGGTACGTGGTGAGCGCCTCGAGGATGCGGTAGTCCGCCATGGCGACGCGGTTCGCGCTGCTGCCGGCCGCGAGCTGCGTGAGCAGGCCGATGGCGACGGCGGGCGCGCTGGGCTGGTCGGCGTTGGGCGTGAGCAGCGCGATCAGCTGCGGCACCACCACGCTGCCGTGGCGGCCCGCGCGGATGTCGTCGCAGCGGAAGAGCTTCTCCAGCGCCACCTGCTCCGGGCTGCCCGCCAGCTCGAAGTCGTCCGCCAGCGCGCGCAGGTGCGCCACGTCCGCCTCTGCGCGGCCCAGCAGCGCGAGCAGCAGCGGGATGGCGCCGCTGTTGGCGATGGCGAGCAGCGTGCCGCGACTGCCGCTCGCCACGAGCGACGCGACGGCCTGCGATGCAAAGTAGCGCTGCGAGGGGTCGGGCGAGGTGAGCAGCGAAGCGAGCGGCGGAATGGCCCTGAGCGCGACGGGCGAGCGCACGACGTCGCGATTGCAGAACAGCACCGCCAGCAGCAACGCGCACACCCACGCCCCCCCGCTGTCTCCCCCTTCCGCGCCGTCCCCATCCATCCCCAGGTCGTCCGCCTCCTCCCCGTCCGCCGACAGCGCGGAGAGGCGGTCCACCAGCACGTCGACGGCGCCCGCGGCGGCGACGAGCGCGCGCGTGGGGTGGTCGTGCGACGCCATGACGGCGAGCAGCCACAACGCCACGCTGCTCACCAGCGCCTCCGCCGATGCCTCCCCGTCGCCCTCCTCCGCCTGCTGCTGCTCGCGCGACTGCTGCTGCGCTGCAAGCATGTCAACGAGGCACCGCACCACCGCCTGCAGCGTTCCCGCCGCCTCCATCGCCGCCATCGTCGCCGCGCGGTGCTCCTTCGCCGCGCAGATCAGCAGCGCCGTGCCGCCCACCTTCACCTCCAGGCTCTCCGCCTCTGTGATGCGCGCGGTGAGCGCGGCGACGCAGTTGTCGGTGCCGGCGATCATGTCGCCCAGCGTGACGGGCTGGTCCTTGCACAGCCGCGACAGCACCTCCACCGCCTTCTCCTGCATGCCCGCCGTGCCCCCCGCCAGCACCGCCACCAGCGGACCCATCGAGTACGGCACCTCCGACAGCACCGCCAGCGGCGCCTGCCCGCCCCAGTTGTGCGCCTTGGCGCGCGCCAGCGCCGCCAGCGCCTCGAGCGCCGCCATGGACGCGTCCTCGCTGGCGCCGACGGCGAGCAGCGCGACGAGCGCGAGCACGGTGCTGCACTGGCGGATGCTCTCCGCCAGCTCCTCGTCCAGCGCGCGCGAGTGCAGCAGGTGCGCCAGCGCGCCCGCCGCGTGCTCCTTGCCGTGCGGCGTGCCCTCGCGCAGCAGGCGCGAGAGCGGCAGCACGACCTCGTCCGCGGGCGCCATGAGCGCCAGCTCGGGGTTCGCCAGCAGGTTCGCCAGCGCCGTCGTCGCCACCTCCGCCACCGCCATCTCGCGCGCGCGCGCCAGCTTCACCAGCGGGAAGATGCTCGCCCTCGCCGCGTGCGCCGCCTCCTCGTTGCTGTCGATGGAGCAGAACAGCGCCGCCAACGCGCGCGCTGCCTGCATGGCCACGGGCTCGCCGCCGTCGTCCACCAGCCGCACCAGGGGGGGAATCGCCTCCGCCGCCACCGGCCCCTCGCGCAAATCCTCCCGCGCCGCAAACAGATTCGCCAGAACCGCCGCCGCGCTCTCCTGCGTCTCCTCGCGCTCCGACTCGACGAGCGCGACGAGCGTCTGAAGCGCCTCGTTTGCCGCGGTGCCGTCGTGGGCGGCGTCGGGCGAGTCGGCGAGCAGCTGGCCCAGCACGCGCAGCACGTGCACCTTGGACTCCGGCACCTCCGCCACCAGAATGCCCGTCAGCTGCCCGATCGCGCTGCTCGCGCCGCTGCTGCCGCCCGATACCAGGCGCATGAGAGCGCGCGCTGCCGCCGCCTGACCCCTCTCCGACCCGCTGCCCAGCAGATGCAGCAGCGCGGGGGCCGCGTCCGCCGTCTCCACGCACGCGCGAATATCCTCGTTGTAGGAACACAGGTTACCCAGCAACTCCGCAGCGTCCTCCTTGGCCTTGGCGGTGCCTGTCCCCAGCAGCGAGACGAGCGGGGGAATGCCCCCCGCGGCGGTGATGGCCCACTTGCTCTCGTCCTCCTCGTGCGAGAGGATGGCGAGCAGCGCGCACGCGCACTCCTGCTGGTCCTCCGTCGACAGCCCCAGCAGCCCCACCAGCTGCAGCACGCCCTCGCGCCCGTGCAGCGCGCTCCACAGCGGCGCGCCCTGCACGCACACGTTGAACAGCGCCTCCACCAGCTCCGCCTGCGCGTCGGTGGGCGACAGCGTCACGAGCCCCACCAGCATGCGCTTGCCCTCCGCGTTGCTCAGCCCGCGCGCCACCAGTCTGTTGCCGTACAGACTCGCCAGCGCCTCGATCGACCGCTCCTGCACCAGCGCCGACGCCGGCCGCAGCGGGCTCAGCTTCTCCACCAGCGCGCGCTCGATGCCCTCCGCGTCCACCTTGCTTCCGCTCCCGCCATCCCCGCCCTCGCCGTCGTCCGCCGCGCCGTCGTCGTCGTCGTCGTCGTCCAGCACCATCAGCGCGTACGCCAGCGCGCCGATGTTGTCCGCCAGCTCGCGATCCGAGTGCGCGCTGCTCACGGCCGCCGCCAGCGACGCGACGACCTCCGCCTTGCCGCCCGCGATGTTGGCGAGCGCGCCCATGGCGTTCTCCTGCAGCACCTGCGCGTACCCCGTCTGCATCATCTCCGCCGACGGCGCCATCGTCGCGCGGATCAGCATGCCCACTCCCCCAGCCGCCGCAATCTTCTCCCGAGCCGCCACATGTACTGCTGAGATTGCGCGCAGCGCCCCAGCCGCCTCTGTCCTGACCGCCACTTCCCTACCCGGCTGCAGCAGCGCGAGGAGCGGCGGAATGGCTCCAGCCTCCACCACTCTCGCCGCCGCCTTCGCCGCCTCCTCCAGCCCTTCTCCGCCCTCCATGGCTGCCGCCGCCGCTGCCGCCGCTGCTGCCGCCACTGTTGCCGCTGGAGTCTTGCCCTTGGCTTGCTGCTGCGCGGCGGCGGCGGCCGCATTGGGGTGCGCGAGGTAGGGGCTGGTGAGGAAGCTGGTGAGCAGCGCGGCGGCGTTCTCCTGCGTGGCGGGGCGCCCCATGGAGAGCATGCTCGTGAAGATCTCCACGCCGCCCGCCGCCTCCACCGTGCGCCAGAATCCCGGCACGGCGTAGCACAGGTTGCGCATGGCGCCCGTGACGAGCCCCAGCACGTCCGGGTGGATGCCCGCGTGCTTCTGCAGCTGCTGCAGCAGCGCCGGCACCACGCCCTCCGACGCGAAGATGCGCGACCCCACGGCATCGCGCCCGGAGCCCGCCTTGGACATGGCGAAGAGCGCCTCCGCCGCCACCATCTGCGAGTCCTTGGGGCCGTTGCGCAGCAGCGCCAGCATGGGCGGAATGCAACCCCCCAGCAGCACCTTCACGCGCAGCTCCTGCTCGTCGCAGATCGCCCCCAAAGTTGCCGCCGCATGCGTGCGCGCAGGCAACGTACCCGAGCGCACGAGTCCCACGAGCAGCGGAATGGCCTGCGCGTGGTAGCCGATGGCCGCGCGCGCATCCACGCTGGTCTCCGCCAGCTGGCTGAGCTGCATAGCGACGCGCTCCTTCTCGTCCGCATCGCTGCCCGCCGTGCGCAGCATCTCTATCGACTCCGCCACCGCCGCCAGTACCATCGCTGACTGCTGATCCCGCCCTTCGCCCCCCGTGCCCGACCTACTTCCCACTATGCTTTCCGCTTCCCTAAATCCCATGTCTGCTAGCTGGCCGCGAAGAGCGGCGGAAGAACCAGGTGCTGCTTCCATGTCTGAAGCCAGGGTCAGTGGCACGGCGAGAGTGGAAGCGCGAAACGCCATGCCATGCAAGCAGAGTCAGTCGCAGTGGTGAGGTGGACGAATGTTTCACTGGCAAGGGAGAAAAAGGACAGGACGTTGAAGTGTTAGTGAACGGACAAAACGAGGGCGACGCGGGGAACACATGGACGGCGAAGGAGAGGATGAGGGAGAAACACCCATTGGAGCGACCTGATGATGGCTCACTAGGAGAAGGCAACAAGGCGGCCAGGCGAGGAGGCTAAGCTTCAGAGGATCATGAACAGGGGAATAGCATACTTCACGACTGCACTCGTGCTCGTTCTTCGAAGCGAAAAGGAGTAAGCAGAACGGTAGTGGTTTCAGAGGTGAAAAGGAAAGTGAGGCTGGACGGAGATGTAGAGACGTAGCGGAGCGAAAGCAGAGACCTAGTATTGCGCTGAACCTGCCGCGACGGCTTGGCCTCTACCCAAGCTGCAAATCTTCCATGCCTGACATTCGAGCCGCGATCACCACTAGTAAGTTCGCGCCTGCCTATTGCCGTGTACTTCCTGTTATCGATCCGTTCACATTTCTGGCCCTCACGTTCTCTGGTCCTGCTTGCCCCTCCAGATATTCTTACCTTGAATTTGGCGATGCAAATCAACTGCTCACGCGCTTGACAAATGGTCCTACAACCACGACTTTTGCTGTCAATATTGAAAACCGAGCTAGCATAGAAGGAGTTCTCTCGGACCAATTTCGGCTACTTATCACTGTTTCCAGGTAGACGACTAACGCGCCCCACAACTTGAATACTGTAATAAAGCTCTAACTTCCTAGGCCTCCATGAAAGCTTACTTCCAGCACTTGCATGTGAAACTTGGTGTGGAAGACCATGGATACTCGTTCCCTCAGCTCTGCTTCACTTCAGCTGAGCTCTGCCTATGAGAGCAACCATTCTGTGTTTGGGTGTGGGCCTGGCGGAATGCCAAGGATGGCGGGAGAGTCAACGCACGCCATGCCATGTGCCCCATTCCGAACCACCCGAGCCGAACCAAGCCGCAGACCTCCGCCGTGCCCGGATGTTGCGCAGCGCAGCCAGCCAAACCTCGCACATACTGGTTGGGACGGTTCGGCATGGAATGGAACATGTCAAAATGTTCCTCGTGAATGAAACCACCACACAAAGCGGCTGGTGCTGGCTGAGGCTCAACGGCACCTGCCCACCAGCCGATGATTTTGACGCGCCGCCTCGCGTCATCCGCGTCGGGTACCACTGACGCAATGCGAATCGAACCGCTGACTGACACGAATAAACATTTCGCAGCAACGGTCACGGACTAGATGGATGCAATCCGCCCGAACCAGACCCATCGACGGCAAATCCGCAGTCATCGCCAGCCATACCGTCAAGCAAACTCCAGGTCGCAGTTTTAGCCTGCCCGTCCGTCGAACCCGGCAACGTGTCGCAAACCTCCCCAAAGAAAATGATTGTTTGTCAGACTGTATAACAATCAACCATGTGACGAATGAGCTACCGCAGTTGAGCTTGTGTTGGCACCGGTAGTTCCTATCATGGAAAGTTAATATCGATTGTTGCGCCTGTGTTGCATTGCATTGCCCTGCAAAGTGCGTACAGCACTGTTTATCTGCCTTGTTATGAGTTGTAAAAGAGAGTGCGCAGGTAAACGAATAACGAAGCTGTGACTGAATCAACTGCGAATACAATGAATGCCCAGACTAATATAGAACTACTCTAGCTAGGAGAGAACCTCGGACGAGCGAGGTTGGGTGCAGGTTTGGCGATGAGAAAGCCGAAGGCGACGTGAGGAGCCTCGGCAGCGTTGAAATCGGCCGAACGTGCGAACTCCGAAAATCGGGTTGTACGCGAAGCAGTCAACCCCGATAAGGAATTCGGGAAAATTCCTTACACCACCCCCCCCCCCCCCCCTTAAGAAAGGTAGTCAATAGCCGAGACACGACGTCGCGCCAAATAATCACCAACAAGCGTCGAGGCGTCCAGTGAAGCGGATGGCACCTACGTGTCGTCCTCACTGGTGCGGTCAGTCCAGCGAATCAAGAAATCCACGTGGCGACCAGCGGCATCAAGGCGGACCCGATGAGCGAGGATCTTGGAAGGGGCAAGGGTTGGCTCCGGGACTGGGCGAGCTGTCGGGGCCGCTTGCTGACGTGCAATGTCGGTCGTGGTAGGCACGTACTTCCGAAGAAGGCTGACGTGGAACGCGTCATGGATATGCCAGTCGTCGGGTAGCAACAGCTTCGCGGTGACAGGTGTCACCATCTTGAGAATTTTAAACGGTCCGCAAAATCGTGGCCGAAGTTTCGCATGGCCGGGCAGGTTCAGGTTCTTCGTGTCGAGAAGGACTAGTTGCCCAGTTGTCAAGATGAGCTCTCGTCGTAGAAGATTGTGTCAGAATGAGAACTACAGCGGAATGCGTTGTGTTGACAGGATTGGGGTACATCACCTAACCCTAACTAGTTGTACCCCATATAGCCCAACCCACTACAGGCTATAATATTTGACACACCCCCATAGCCTAAGTGGGGAAGGCCAATCAACAACAAGCAACCTACGGTCACAAGACCAGTCAAAAACAAGAGAAAGAAAACAAAGCTCAGGGTGGATCACAACGTCACCACCTAATCTGAGCACAAGCAAAGGGCCACAAGGCCAGTCCAAAAGTGTGCAAACAAATATATATATATAAGGTACAAGCAAGCAACAGACAAAGAGCACCCTACAGCAGTCAACTAGACCCAGTCTCAACGAGGCCTAACTGCAGACAAAACCGACGGTGGTCACAAGGCTGGAGGGCCTTGGTGAAGATGTCTGCAGTGTTGGCCTCGGAGGCCACAAAGTCCAGACGAGCCTGTCCGCGTCTCTGCAACTCTCGAAGGAGGAAGTACCTGACGTCGATGTGCTTCACTCGGCTCTCCAGTCGAGGCTCACGACACAGGAGAATCATCGCCCTGTTGTCAGCAAACAGGGTCGGTGCAGAGCTCGGCCGCTCACCAAGGTCAGTGAGCAAAAAGGTCAACCAGCGTAGCTACTGAGCAGCAAGGGCCCCAGCGTAGATCTCGGCCTCTGCGGTAGAAGTCGCAACAGAGGAGGACCGAGTAGACCTCCACGAAACAGCTCCAGAACCCAGGCTGAAACAGTAACCCTGCGTAGACCTCTGAGTCTCAACGTCGTCAGCGTAGGAAGAGTCATAGTGACCGGTGAGTACAACTGGCTGTGTCCCTCCAAGTACAAGCCCCATGCCTGATGTCGCGCCAAGGTACTTCGCCACCCTCTTAGCCGCCGCCCAGTGAACAGGACGGTGTCTCCCAGTCGCAACAAAGCGAGACAGGATGCTAAGGGGGAAGGCGAGGTCCGGGCGAGTGCACGTCATTAGGTACATGAGGCAGCCCACTAGCTCTGCGTAGGGACCACTGGGCTCGAACGGCTCGTCAGGAAAAGGCCCAGTGAATCTGTGGTCTACAGCAGGAGGAGTGGGGGCAGGAGAAGAGTCCTGAAGCCCGAACCGCTGAAGAACCTGCTGCACCATGTGTGACTGAGTGAGAGTGATGGTGCGAGCGGCTCTGTCCCTGGAGATCTGCAGGCCAAGGTAGCGGCGCAGTTCCCCAAGGTCAGTGCAGGTGTGTCTCTTCTGCAGTTCGGACTTCACCTCCGCCAGTGCAGCTGTGTCGGCCGTGGCAAAAACCAAGTCGTCAACGTAGACTAGGACGAAGAAAGGTGTACGGCCACGACGAACAAACAGCGACGGGTCGGCGGAAGACGGCTCAAACCCGAGGTCGGAGAGAGTGGAGCGGAGAGTGTCGTGCCACTCACGGGGTGCCTGGCGGAGACCGTAGACCGGTCGTCTGAGGCTCCACTAGGTCCCAGGCGGGAAAGTGCCAGTGAAGCCCGGAAGACGACGCAGCCAGATCTCCTCGTGTAAGCAGCCCTGGAGGAAGGCAGTGGAGAAGTCAAGAGAGTGTAGCTCGTAGTCTCTCTGCGCTGCTACGTGCAGTAACACCCGAAGAGTGGTCATCTTCGGGGTGGGCGCGAAGGTCTGAAAGAAGTCAACCCCCTCGCGCTGACTGAACCCTCTAGCCACGTAGCGTGCCTTGAAGACTGGGGGAGATCCCGGCGGCCGCTTCACCTTGAAGATCCACATGCCGTCAACAATGTTCGCCCCTGGGGGGGGAACCTCGTCAACGTAAGTGCCTGTGGACCTGTAGGAGGCCATCTCTGCGTCCATGGCAGCTCTCCACTGAGAGGCCCAAGGCCCTGACACTGCCTCAGCGTAAGTGCGAGGAGTAGGTATGTCAGGAGCGTCGGGGTCTCCCTCAGGAGTGAGCAGCATGGCACAGAGATGAGGCGAAGCAGCTGCCAGGAACTCTAGCTCAAACTGTCTGTCCTCTAGGACGTCACAGCCAAGGGCACACACACCCCCGGCGGACAGAGGACGGACAGGAGGAGCTGCCACAACTCGAGTGGCGTAGTCAAGGCGACGCGTAGCAGTAAAGTCAGTGACAGCGGCAGTGAGGACCGCGACGGAGGAAGGAGAGGCACGAGGGTCTGTAACAAGAGAGGCGAGAACACGAGAGAGAGTGGGGCGGTACGTGCGGTAGTAGTCAGTGACCGGAGTGGATAGGGAGGCAGTGAGGGAAGACTCAGGAGGACGAGGAAGGACAGACGGAGGAGAACGAGGAGGACGAGGACGAAACAACACGGTACGGAGGTCAGTGACAGGGGACGAGGGACGAGCACGAGGAGGGCCAGAGGCCCAAGTGTGGGCGAGAGGAGGGGGGGACGGAGGAGACTGAGAACGAGGGAAGACAGCCGGAGTGGAGTCTGGAGGAGGAAACGTGGGACCGAACACAGGAGGAGAGGAGGGGAGACCAAGGGCCCGAAGGCCAGAAACAGGGGCCGGAGGCTGCTCCGGCAGCTGCGGCGGCTGCTGCTGCTGCTGCTGTGGCTGTGGCTGCGGCTGCTGCTGCTGCTG